GCTCCTTTCCCCAGGCCGGCTGGGCGCAGCGACGCCCCGGTGCCCATGCTGAAGGCCTGGCCCCCGCCCAGCCCGCGGGCGAGCGCAGCACGGAGCTGCTCCTTCAGTGCGCTGCACACGGCGCGGGCCCGGGGCACGCACCAGTCGTGTTTCCCTACAGCCCTCGGCGTGACAGCAGGAGCTCATAAATGCAGCTTTAACGTTACTTCCCAATAGATTTTTTTGTTACCGCTCACCCGAGGATATGAGAGAGAGGAACATCGGTGTGAGAGAGAAGCCTCCAGCATGCACCCTGCCCGGCGGGGATTGAGCCTGCAACCGAGGTGCCTGTCCGTGGCCGAAGTCAAACGCAGGACCCTTCAGGCCCAGGGCCGACACACTAACCCCTGAGCCAGACAGGCTAGGGCCCACTAGGTACTTCTATATGCCACTGCTACTGTATACTGCCATTGTGGGATGGCTAAGGTAAGCTTCTACGTAGTTCACTGCTTGTACATCTAGCAAATATACTTGGGAGACCCACTTGGTTGGCCAGGGGTCGCTGTCAGCTTCTGTAGGCCACTCTCTCGTCCTTGCACATGGTCCCCTCCATATTTAAAGCAACAACGTGGAATCTTTCTCATCCTTTGAATCTCTCTGACATCTCTTGTGCTCCTAGCCAAAGAAAGTCTGCTTCCAGGACTAGGTTACCTGAATAACCTCTCTTTTGCAATATAATGAAACATAATCATAGGACTCATACCAAGGAGCAAAAATCAAAAGAGGCCGACTTAAAATTTTGCCTGGCATAGGCTCCCAGGAATGAATGCTAAGGACATGATCTCACAGAAGCCAGATATGACAACAGTAGTGGTATTAAGTCTAGAGAGTTAAACATACCTCATATATGTTTAACTAAAGCATGTCCTGCTTTTGGTGAGTGGAATGGAATAAAATACATAGGAAACGCACAAAATTTTTGAGGCAGCCATATTAGCAGAAATACTGCCAGCCTGGGTGAAGAGAGACTAAGACTGTTCAAAATGTAAAAAGACTTCTAGACTCCCAATTTTCTACCAGCAGAAAGCAGGTTCTCGCCAGAAACACGTATTTTTCAATGCTTTCTTCAGAAGGGGTCAAGGAGTGAGATGGCAAAGGAAGAACATATTGGAGAGCCAGAGTATTGTGCAGAACAATGGACAAGGATGGCTTGGCAAGCTGTAGCCCCTGAACTAAGAATGGTTTTCGAAAAGACAATATGTGACAGAGACTGTATTTCGCCCACAGAACCTAAAAAAATTTTTCTGACTCTATAGAAAAAGTTTGCCAACCCCTGCCCTAGTGAACCACTTCTAGGTTCAGAACCAAAGCCTAATCATCCTCCACCACCCCCTCTTTGGATCCCCCTCATTTAGTCTACACTTTGGCACCTGGCTCCCGGTCTTTCTTTCCACCCCATGTCCTGCCACCATCTGGAAGTGTTCCAAGCTCACATGGCCACCGACCCACACCTGGGCTCTGAGGCCCTCAACTTCCTCATATCCAATGAGCTCCTCCATGCCCCTTGGCCACTCATTCCCAAGGGTGGCTTGGGACTTTTCACCAAAAACTTGCTCAATACCTGCTCAGCACTCCTCCTTTCTGGACAAAGCCCATCCTTCCAGGTGACACTTTGATTATTGCTACCAGTGATTTTTTTAAACCCCTCAATTCACTTTAACAGCTACTTTCTCCTGTTGCTCCCCTGCTTCTCTCCTGCTATCCAGTTAGTGTATGTGGGCCATTGCTGCAGTAACACATTGTCAAAATCAAAACCCTAGCCTCGTACTCCTGTTTCCTCTTTCATTCTGCTCTGTCAGAAACACAGCCCCTGGTCAGTTGAGGGCTTGCTAGGGACCTTCAGTGAGGCTGCAGGAAAGTCCAGGGCTTGGGGGAGTCTAGTCTCAGCTGTTATAGGTGGTAAAAAAACATTCTTTGAAGAGGCAAAGAATAATATGAACAGTAATCAAAACAGCCTGGTGCTGGCATAAAAACAGACATGTAATGTAGGTCAATGGAACAGAACAGAGTACCCAGAAATAAACCCACGCCTTTAGAGTCAGTATTTGACAAAGGAGGCAAAAACACACAATGGGGTGAAGATAGTCTCTTCAGTAAATGGTGTTGGGAAAATTGGACAGATGTGCAAAAAAGGAAAACTAGACCACCTTCTAACACCATACACGAGAATAAACTAAAAATGGATTAAAGACACGCTGGCCGGTGTGGCTCAGTGGTTAGAGTGTCAACCAAAGGGTCTTGGGTTCAATTTCTGGTCAAGGGCACACACCTGGGTTGCAGGTTTGATCCATGGTACCGGTCAGGGCACATTCGGGAGGCAACCAATTGATGTGTCTATCAGATCGATGTTTCTCTCTCCTTCCTCCTCCCTCTCTTTCACTCTCTAAAAATCAACAGAAAAATATCCTCAGGTGAGGCTTAAAAAAGGATTAAAGGCTTAAATGTTAAACTTGAAACCATAAAATTCTAGAGGAAAACAGGCAGTAAATTCTCCTGGTGATAATTTTTCTGATAAACCTTCTTGAGCAAGGGAAACTAAAGAAAAAAATAAACAAATGGGACATCAAACTAAAAAGGTTTTGCACAGCAAAGGAAACCATCATCAAAACAAAAAGACAACCCATTGAATGGGAGAACATATTCGCCGATACAGCTGATAAACAGTTAATATCCAAAATTTATAAAGACCTTAAAAAACTCACCACCAAAAAAACAAACAATCCATTTTTTAAAAATGGGCAAAGAACCTGAACAAACACTTCTCCAAAGAGGACATACAGATGGCCAATAGACGTATGAAAAGATGCTCACCGTCACTAATCATCAGAGATGCAAATTAAAACCACAATGAGATACCCCCTTGCGCTGGTCAGAATGACTACCATCAATAAATCAACAAGTGCTGGCCAGGATGGGGGGG